AGTACAGGGCTACAGCTGAGACACCATTAGCTTACTCAAAAGGGCAGCAGCCACAGATAGTAGATTTGCTTTTGTAGGTTTTTTAACCCTGACTGAATATAAAGAGACATTGTGAAAGAGGTGGTTTGCATAGAAGAATTAGGGGAATGAATGGCTGAAGAGGGAATGGTTAGTCAAAAGCTATACAAATGAAAAAAACCAGCATACCAGAGAGTGAGAAATTTCAGAATAATAATCGGCTAAGAAGCTTAATGGTCAACAGCATGACTGAAAGCTGGTAGGATGAGATGGAGGCAACAAGAATCATCCAGCTGTTCTCCAGCTCTTGCTTCCACCTCCTTTCAGTCATTTGACTGGTGGCCAAGTCCATGGTTGTGTCCCCATGGCAGGTGGGGGTGGCAGTGGCCATTATAATAATGGAAGAGACCAGAATCCACCTCCAAATCCTGTCCAGGGTATTTATAAAACTGGAAATCATTCAACTTACTTTCCACATTGATCTTGGCTTGGGTCTTGTCATCAGGACTCTCACAGCAGTAGAAGCCCCTGTCTGCAAAGGAGATGTCCTTAACCACCAAGGTATGCTTTGTTCCCTCAGCTTTGATCTCTATTTTTTCACTGGGCTTCAATATGATGCTGTTCCTCATCCACTTCACCTCTGCAGGCTTAGTCAGCTCTACCTCCAAGGTCACTGTGTCCCTCTCTTCAACTGTTCTGGGCTCCAGTTTCTTCTTGAATGAGATTGAGGCCTCTGCCAAAGGAGAAGAAATATTAGTAAGAATGTAGAGGATCCAGAAAACAGGCTTTCAGAGAGAATTAAAATGGTGGTTGATGTATCTCCAGTCCCAATGCATTCTCGGCATCCATATTTAATGATGTGAAAGCAAAATTTCATAATCAGAGGGAACGCCACATAAAACAGCATAGGTCATAGCATCAGTGACAGCCCGTCAAAGGGACATTATGGCCTCCTACCTCGGACTCTGAGATTGGCTGTGCTTTCTACGCCCTCAGCATTGGCGGAGATTTCAGCTGCATCTTTCAGTGTCAGATCAGTGATGGTGAGGCTGTGGTTGGTGTCCTTCTGTGAGATCACATACTTCTTGCTGGCTTCAATTTTGACACCATTCCTGAACCAAGTGACCACAGCATCACTGGGAGAGACAGTGCACTTGAACACAGCCTCTTTTCCTTCCTCAGAGACCACGCTGTTGAGACTCGTAACAAATTTCACCACTCTGGGAGCTGATGGATAGAAATAAAACATTTGAGACATGGCATAAACACCTTCAAATAGCCAAAACCTATGAAGAGTTTGTTGGACGTATCAATTTTTATTAATTAAAGTAAGTGATCACAATAATGGGTCATTACGTTTCCCATGTCTCAGCAAGTTTTGTGTATAAAGATGCCAGAAGAGAGAGGCAAAGAAAGAGGGGGAAAATCCCATCTTAGTTTTGAGACACTTGATTCCAGCCTCAAATGCAATATAAAGGTCATTTTGCCCACATATTAAGATACCTGAGCTCAACAGGTCTCAAAATCGTTCTGTGTTTCACAGAGGTTCCAATGGCACTGAGAGGGGAAGTGGAGTTTCGTATTTAGCTGTCAACACAGGAGACAGCGCAAACACATGAACAAACTCAGCTTTGCAGAGTTGTAATTGCTGAGGACAAAACCCAAGGATCCCTCCACATGGTCACCATGGAGTTGACATACGTTTGGGGGTGATGATAATGCTGCTCTTGTCATCTCTGGACTCGCAGGAGTACTCTCCCTCGTCCTCAGCCCGGATCCCTGTTATGGTCAATGTTCGCTTGACCCCTTCCTCATATATCTGGAAACGCTTGCTGGGCTTGATCTGAACTCCGTTCCTGCACCACACCACCTTCCCTTTGGCATGGCTCACGTCACAGGTCAAAGAGACACTGCCTCCAATCTCAGCATTAACAGCTTCAAGTTTTTTGACAAACTTCACTGGGATTTCTGAGATGCAGAAGAAGGAAAAATTAGAAAGGAAAAGATAAGGAACCTGTTCTAAGAAACTGTTTCTGGCCAACTTTAAATTAAAAAAAAAAACCAAACAAAAAACAAACCAAACCAAAAATAACAAAACCCCAAACACACACACACACAAAAACCCCCCACCTACACCAAACCCAAAACAACCCCACCCCAAAACCCTCAACAGATTTGGGGGTCAGGGTAGACAGAAACAAACCAGAAAGGTGAAAATTTAGGGGGATTCCTTTGACATGGATTTTTAATATCATTATCATTCTGTAAAGCAAGAACAATGCCTTTAAACAAGATTTGGTTTTCCCTTCCTTCCTTTCTAATTTCATACCAGATGAGACTATGTGGTGTTTTCACATCAGAGTCTAATTTGCCTGACTAAATGTAAAAATCCATATGGATGCCCAAGCTCCAGCCACCTTTGTCTCTTCTGTCACAACCAATGGAGTCAAAGAAATCCAGGGTGTGATTTCTTTCATCCTGAAGGAGACATTTCAATAGGTTGGATGTATCATGACCTATTAGCAACTACTCCTCTGCAATGGCTCCACAGGCAGCTGAGGGGGTGCATGCCAGCTGCAGGCATCTCCAGTGTGTGTCTGAAGAGAAAGGAGCAGACCTTTGCTCTGAGACATCACCCGTCTCATCTCCATCTGTGGACCAGCTGTACTTCATCCTTCTTGTCAATGAATACCCTTAGCCTTGACTAGGCAACAGCATCCCAGGTGCACTATCCCAGGAACAGAGGAGGATACAATTCCGGTCCTGTTTCTCCATGTGCCTAACACATAAGTTTTCTCATCACACAACATCTCTCTATATCCTCATCAGCTTTGTCACGCTGGTGAGCAGATTGGGGAAGAGCTAAGGCTCTGCCATGCCACAGCTACAGGGGTTAGGAGGAGATGGAAACAGTGTGATGACAGTGGGGAGCAGACACCAGGAAAAGCACCCACTGTAGGCCTCCTTGTTCCCCTGAGTAGCCAGCAAAGGACAAAAATTGGGTATTTGGAAGCAGGAGAACTTTTCTGGCCCATGGTGGGGCAGCCACAGCAGCTGCAACAGCAATCCAAGCCTTGAGGTTGGAACAGTTTTAGAGAGAGTTTGGACTTCACCTCCATCCTACCATGAGGGAAATATAGCTGTTGGGTTGGGACATGACCTGTGCGCTGCTCTCTGCTCACCTTTCACCTGTACTTTGAATTCCTGCTTGTCGCTTTTTGTCTGGCAAGTGTACACGGCCGTGTCTGTGCTCTCAGCCAGGTTCACTGTCAGGGTCCTGGATGCCCCCTCACTCTTGATTTCGTATTTCTTGCTTGCCTTGATTTCTGTTCCATCCTTGAACCACTTTACAGCAGCAGTTTCAGGAGTTACCAAAGTAGACAGTGTGATGCTTTCGTGTTCTTGAACAATGAGAGGTTCTTTCTGGACAACTTTATTTTCAAATTTAGCTTCTGGTTCTAAGAAAGACATTAAAGTAGGAAAACTCATAACTTCAAGCTCAAATCCTTAACACAGCAAGTTTCTATTTCTCCTCATGACTCACAACACCAGCTCATCCATAATCTGTAAAAACCTAGAGAATATGGCTGAATATTTATGGCCGGTAAAATATTTTGCTGAGTGGGAAGAAAGAAAATGATCTGTTGGGCAACCCAGAGCTTCCGCTTAGAAGAGAAGCAAGGGAACGGAAATGCAAATATACATTTTATCTGCTGCCCACGGAAAGCTTGTTTCTTAGAAATAAAATGATCTGTATAACTCTATCCTCTCACAGTTTTAGAATTTTAGATCAAATTAAGAAGAAATATTAGTGTGCTAAACCTGAATTTATGGCTTGTTTTCTGTTTGCTCTACTGCCTTTCTCTTGGCCTCTTCTCTATCTTGTACAACACTTTGCCCCTAAACTGGGCAGTTTTGGGGCACACACAGCAGATGACCAGCTTTTCTTAGTCACCTCTCTCCATGGCTCTGTTGCTGCTCTTCAAAACTCCCCACTTCTACTTTCAGCTCCCCACCACTGAAACAGGTTGGGTGACAGGGTGTGTGAAGGAAATCAGCAAAAAACATAGTTTCCATAGCCAAAAAAAGTCTTCAGCCAGATTCCCACCTCTACACTGCTAGATTAAAAAGGCCAAATTAATGTGTGATGTGGTTCACTGATGTTGTTCTGGGGAAAATGGTGGCAGGGTAGGGAATATCCAGTTTTCCTCTAAACCACACAGATTGCTACTTAGCACCTCAAAGTGAGTACTCACCAGTTGGTTTCAACTTGAAAGTCAGCTTCTGGCCTGCAGCCTCGCAGATGTATTCTCCAGCATCTTTCTTGTCCAGCTGCTCTATAACTAGGCGTCGGGTTTTACCCACAGTTTCTATTTTGAATTTTCTAGAGGAAATGAGCAGTCTTCCATCCTTGTACCATTTCACTTCGGTTGCATCCTGTGCTACCTCACAGCTGAGGGTGGCACTTTCTGTCAGGACAGCGTTCACCTCCTTCTGGACCTTTTCCTCATTTATGAATGCAGGTTTTGGCTCTGAGTGCGGAAAAGGAAGAAAATATTGATTGAGGGATTAAAGTGAGATCAATCTTACAAATTTCTGTGCAGAGGTGTAGAAAATATTTAGGTTGTCACTTGCCAAAACCAATTGCCTTCACTGGGCAATATCTACAATTCTGTGTGACCAAATCACCACGTAGAAAACAGGGAAGTAAGACCCTAGGAATGAAAAGGACCAAGAGGGTCCTTGACATAAATCCTATGCTTGCAAGCTACCATGCAAAAAATATTTCATTCAAACATTCCAAAAGACATTTGTCCTGCATATCACCAAAAGCTCTCAGAGTCCTTTTACTTAAGCCCTAGGACACATATATAGCACTAAGGGCTTCTGGAACAGGCTCTTCATGTTCTCTTCCACTGTCACAAATGTAACTGTCAAAGGGACAAAGGAAATACAACCTCCTTACAGTGCTCAGGTAGGTCAGGATCATGGCTGGCAAGATACCCAAGGTTGTTGCAATGTGCTTAAAGCAGTTAGGGCACCTTGTGAATCCCGTTCCAAAAGACCAATTGCTGGGAATCTTTCACTGCAAGGGGACATTTAGCACCAGGCAGAAGCAGTAAGGCATCTCAGAAAGATGAGATCTCAAACGTGCAACAGCCCAAAGTCAGAAAAAGTGCAGAGTTTTCAACCCATCTCAAGGTCTTCTGCTCATGAAATTGCAAATGACAAAACATATTCTAGTCTCTAAGTTTTCAGAAATGAGATCAGAAGTCTAACGAGAAAAGGATTTTTGAATGGTTCTTTCCTTTCAAGAGGTTCAATGCACAATAATCACCCTTTGGGATCTCAGGAGTAGGAGAGCTCTGAATAATATCCTGATTATTATTTCTATTATATTTATATCTGCAACTATAATTATATAGACAGAATGAGAATGAGATAGGCCTTTGTGGCATGCTAAAGCCAATTCTCATTTCTACAAATCCAGGCAATCAGGTACAGAAAATCAGGTGAACCCTACAGGCTGCAAGAAAGCCCAGACTATTGCAACTGAGTCAGAGTGTAATAGTACAGTTATGACTTTATTATTGTCTCCTGTAATTCAGACAAGGTATGTTTTACCTGTGACATCAAGCTTGAAGGTCAGTTTC